TTCAGTGAAAAACAACAGCCATTATGAAGTAATTGGGTTTAAAGGCCAGTGTTTTGTTTATAGAGATATAATAAAAATTCTATGAAGAAATGAAGATTTTACTTTAAATGCCTTCTAGAGTTATATCAAACGCGATGATCATTGATAAATTCGAAACTTCTTTTACTGTGAACCAAAAATTTCAGGAAAAATAAATTGTCAATAACACTAACAAGATTGTCTTTGAGTTTCTATGGATTGGAATAATTCGAAGCTTTATTGATTATCTGATATAAAACATTTATAACAGATATGTTCGTTTTAATATCACAGGTGAAAGTGATAAGAACCTTTTATCCTATTACACAAGATTGTCGACTAGTAGCAAGCAAACATATTTAGATGTTGGAAACATGGGAAAATTTCATTACATACATACGTCCTTGTAAAACAACTTGTTAGCATAATGGAAGATTGTAACTGTGTTGAGACTTAGACACTATCTTATTGGTCAGGTGAATTGAAGGTTTTGGCGTAACTTCATTATCATAGATAAAGAACATTTAAATGTCAAGTTAGTGGTAATATAATAAGTAGTTTCCTAGTGATTTCATATCAAAATTTAAGTAATACTTTAATTCAGATTAGAATTACTCCATGTTTGAGTTATTCCTGTATGACCATGTACGACCACAAAAAATATTATTTTAGGGAATAACATGGTATTTAACTGACTCCTTGTGAGAAAAAGTTTGTCCAATTTAAGTAGTGGAAGAGGTAAGCTACATAATTCCTACTGTTCAGGTAAATTGCGTGATTACGTAATATTAAATATCATTGTTGTTTTAGTCATTCTGAAAATCATAATAAGTGACTATTGCACTCAGTCAGTGTTGATGTTTTATGGTTTGACAGTCAGCACAAATAAAATTCACTAAACCCGTTTTTTTTCCATTTGTTCATTGACAGCCTATCGAATGATATGCGACAAGTTAACAGTTAAACTATCGTTTTCTATCCTGTTTCCAACATATTCTAGCAATAATTACACTGTATATTAGATTTGTATAACCTTGATAATTTATTTTCAAGGTTATAAATTGTCAGTATATGCGTCATTCAGAATGTCACACATAAATTTTGTTATATGTCGTCGTCAATTTCTTATGACTGGTCATCGCTGATTATTATGTCGGAATTGCCTATTACTTATTCCTGTAAACGAGAAACCATTGCAAACTGCACGTAATTTCTCAAGATCTATGGGGACATTTATTTACTTCTATTAAATACGATGATATAAATGAGGGTACTTGTTCATAATATGGAGAAATTGATCTGAAACTATATGATGAAAGCTCTCATTTAAAAAAAAGACTACTCAAAATTTTACATAACTGGATTTAATTGAACTTGAACTTGTAATACGTGTTCGTGAATATATATATATATATACAATACATCTAATTAACCTTAAGTGTTACTAAAATAGTTATAATAATGTATATGAGTATCTTAGTTCCTAACTATTCCTTTATAGTTGGATGAATTATAGAAATAAGTCACGTATGAAAATATCTCTTGTCACGTACTGACTTCAGCCGTTAAAGTGTAAGGTGAATTTGTTTTAAAACTAGTATAATTAAGTTTTCTGTTTCTTAACATTACCCATCTATAACACACTAACTCATATCTGTGACAAAATCTAACAATGCAAAATAAATAATTATAGTCTGAGGATATTTTCCAATTCCTTTTTTTTGTTATTAGTTTATGGTATAGTTTCAAAAAAAAGCGTATTACGTCTTTCCGAGCTCGATTGCCGCTATTGATATAATTGCTAAATAAACACATTAATTTCACACCTGGTATTTTATTTATAATATGATGTACTGTCACGTATGAATAACTTCGTCTAATATCATTTTTTTGAGACTCATGAAATACTTCAAATTTCTAATGTTTATGGAATGTAGCAGCGTAAATCCAACGTAACAGATGGTTATGCATGAGTTACAATAATAAATCAGCACTTTCAAAAAAATCTCTATACACTGGACTAATAGTAATGAAAAGTGTAAGACTTCCCATTGTTTTGTTGTGAATTATTATTTCCAGACGTCATAGATATTTGGAGTATCTTTGATTAACTTTAGTTATGTAAAAAACCGATAAAGTCCAAATTTAAGAAGTGAAACTATATTAGGGTCATTATTAATTGATGAGTATAATAATAATACAAAAGTGAAAAACTATAGGTTGGGATAATTCGTTAACAAAGAAAGATAGTGTTAAGAAAATTTCATTGATTATCTTCAAACATAAAGTTCTACACAAATTATTCCAATTCTTCACTTAATAAATAGAATTCGATCAATACCGGAGACCGTACAATATGGTATGAGGTTTGATACACATATCAAAAAGTCTCCTGTAAAATTTAATAAAAAAGAGCAACCCTAATTTTACGATAAATTAGTAGACTAACTAATTACTGAGTCAGAATATAGCATGTAGAACTTTTATATATTGACTAATGGTTAAGATCGTAAGTCAGTGTTAGTTATTATTCATCCAAATCACTCAGTGCTGACATTTGAGGTCGTGCTATCAGATTGTTCTTTGCGAGTATAATAATTAGCCAAGTACAAATGCGTAGCTATATTTCTATTGTCTATTTTTACAAGATGCATTCAAACTGTTAGACTTGTTTATATCAAAGAAAGATATTCAGAAATGGTAGTTAACATTTTTTAGACTGCTCATGTTTTTGTGTGATTGATGCTTTCATTTAAAAATAACTGAAGCAGATGAACATTGATATTGTTTTCTTAAATAGTTAAGGGTTAGAAATTAATTATTTTGCTTTAGTATAATGAGATGTTGATTTGATCCCAGAGGAAATACTTTACTTATTTAAACATTATACAATTAAGCATAAATTAAAAACAAAGTTATTTGATGTTTTCAGACAAATTTTTCTGAAGAATCAGAATAATTGAGCATATACTAGACAATCTATCTATATCTTTATTTGAACGTATGTAAAACAGTTAGTTTTTCCCACGATTAAGATAATTTGACTATTATTATTTTATATATTTAACTCCGCCTGGAGTCCCTCCGGGGGCTACTGTCTGTCCCAAGCCCGGATAAAGGAGGAGGGTTGGGCATGGGGAAAACTAAATCGCTAAAAAAACGCTAACCAGAAAAAAATTATTTTATATATTCGTGTGAAGATTTTGAGACTGTATGATGTATAGGTAGTTTTATCATTACAAAGCGTATTAGTTAGAGAAATATTACGAAACTAAGAGACGACAGACAAATCTGCAGCTCATAATGATGAATAAAGAATTGAATCAAAGACCTTCATGTTACATGGTGAACATATTAACCAATATCTTCAGTATATAGGAGTTTATTTTTAAATTCACTCACTCAGCAAGGATACATATTTTTTTTGACTAGATATTCATCCTATTCTAAAGTTAGTTAACCTCTTGATTGACAATGATTCATTTGAACATCGAAAAATCCATCCCAATTCCAACTATTTGGACATGAACTGTCGACTGACAAATTAAGAATTACTTAGATCAAATGGACGTATGCTTTATGACTTCAAGGATTTAATAGCTTTTGTGATCATAAGTTTTCTGTTTTACCAACTTTAGAAATAATGACGAAAATTCCAAAGTTTTTTCAAAGTCATTATATTACTGCATTGTACATATTAACGAACGTGTATAATAATACAGTAGTTATATCACTTAGTTTGTTCTAATAATGAAAACTAAAATGTCTAGTTGTCAGGTAATTTATATAACATATTGAGAAAATGATAGGATATAAATGCTAAATAAATAATCGTAAATACCTCACGTGATTTGTATAATAAATATATGATAGATACAAATTTATCACCTAAATAAAGTCACTGTTATCTAAGGAAGACATAAGTTTAGTTGAATTGAAAATCAAAGGTCAGTATGTTCAGAAAATATACGTTGGAAGCAATGATGGGTAGTGGCTAGCAGTGGAATCCAGGACGCGCATTTCGTCCTATTTGGGACTCGTCAGCTCGATGTACCTGCATCTCAGAGTTGATTTTCACTCTGGGACTGATCAATTGCAGTCTTAAACCTCATTGGGAAGATACAAACCAAACAATACCAAGTGAATTAAATATACGTCGGAATTATACAAATTATTAGCTTATTTTGTTTCAAGTAATTTAGTCCCGCACTAAAACATGTGGATTACATGAGAGTCGTATAAATAAGTCCACATTATATGAGTGTAACGAGGTCAGTTTTATAGACATGGTTTCAGTCAATCGTTTATTAGTAGCCAGTTTTATTTAAACTGAAAAATAGCTCTTGTTTCCTCAAAATTCAAGTGGCATTTAAATGATTGTATCACATTGAAGTGCATGTATATACACATACATATAGAGGATTTATTAAGCCGTAATCAACTAAAAGACGTCATCGAGGATTTATCTTTGTATTTCATAGAAAATATAGTTAAAATGCATAACTGAATTCATGCATATCATTTTTTCTACTGTCGCCTGAAATTACAATAACAAAAGGCCGAAATTTCTTTTGTATTTGAAGCTATGTGAGATTGCAATAATCCTGACCTTCCATGAACTGATTTAGGTTTGTCATCAAATATAATATGATTCAAGATTTTTCTTGATAATGCTCTTATTTCCCATAAGTACAGCTCGACATTTTAATTTCTCATATATATTTGAACAATTGATGCATGGGCAAATACCTTAAAGGTTTGTTATCTCATTAAATTTTTGAATATATTATTTTGATTTTCAGAACTGAGGTTAGATATTTCAGGCAAATTGCTGACTACCTCTAATATTTATATTACCATCCTATATGGATTGCTGTCCATCAAAGTTATATCTGTTAAATACTCCAAGTAATATGTTCTAATTCTGCATATTAGTTCGTGAAAACGTAAAAAATGTAAATGTAAATGTAAAAAAAACTCACCTCACTGTCTTCTGCACCTAACGTATGACATGGAAGATAAGCATTTTCACCAGTTTCATAAGTTAATAACATTTTAATTAATTTCTGTTTATGATTGAAAGGTTGAGATAGACTTATTTCAGAACTATGATATAATTTATGTATATCTACATTGGGGAATTTTCTAATCATTTCATATAATGGATATGGGTTTAATATACATGGGATTTCTTGTCTACCATCTGTATTCAAATAACAATCTCTATGTACTTCATATCCACTTATTGTTTTCATCATGGATGTTTGATTTGGTAAATAATAAATAGATAAGTTTTTAGAATGATGATAAACATTCGAAAGATCTTTGTTAGACGATTCAAATGCAGCATACTTAGCATGTGGTTGACTTGTGATAGTAGCAGCTGAATCATCGTTTAGTAAGACATGTCGTGCTATCATTTTTGATGTTGTCGGTGAATGTCCAAATTTCATAAACCTTTGTTGTTCTGTATTTTTATATGGGTTGTTAACTTGATAACTACTTGATTGTTGTTGGTATTGATATTGACTATAATTTCGTAATTTATTAGTGGAATTCTGCTGATGACGACTTCCATGTAACAATGGCAAATGAAATATCCAATAAGGTATAATTTCTATGGTTTTGTATAGCATTATTTCCTTTTGTAAATCTTGTATAACAAAAAAGATTTGAAAAGAAAATCATACCAGATCGTCATTTATAAAACGGATTTACAAAATATCATTTAACTGATATATACGGTATTATACAATCTATTAATCTAGTTACTAATACACTGACAACACTATTAAATTTTGACGAAACCAAAAAACCAAATTTTTGTATAACTGTGTCATAACTCATTGTTTATCGAAAAATTGAAATAGTTTTACAATTTCTAATTTTACCCTAGTAGTTTGAATTCTAATACAATACTAATGACTTTCATTCTCTTTCACTTTATATGTCTTGTGATACATAAGTCTTGGATTTTATTAAACATCACTTATTTACTGGCATTAATTTAACATTTATAGTTGTATTTACTAGTTGAGTTCATGATTCAATTGAAGCTAGACCACTATCGAAAACCTGGAAGAACTGGACGGCCGCTTCGTCCTAGTATGGGACTCCACAGCAATGCACATTCACGATCTTGCCAGGTAAGATTCGAACTCAGGACCTTTCGGTATCGCGCGCAAATGATTAACCTCTCTGAACATATATTTGTCTAGATATATCATGATTTTATATATGTGTTTCATCCCTAAATATTTTTTATTCGGATTTTAATGCTCTACACTAAATATATGTTTAAATTTTGACTGTAAATTTCATTTGGTTGTAATGTTTAAAATTCAGGTATTATATATGTCGAAAAACGTTATAAATACAAGCTGTTTACACGGTTGTTTAGTCAGAGTATTTGGTGAGAATAACTTTATTAGGTTCATAATATTTTACACAACTATGTAGTACAATTATGTCAGCTCGAAATTCATTCAACTGTGATTTAAGCGTTTCAGGAGATATTTTTTGCGAATTTGATCTGTTTTTCCCGGGAGCGTAAACTCGATTGTTGTTTCATTCCATATTGGTATTGTTTAGCATAATGCAATAAATAGGTAAAACGAATTATAACATATAAGGATGATCTAACAATTAATTTAAATCTGTCACTACACACTTAATCTTGTGATATAAATTATGTCGAAATCTAAGTTTTTGACTTTTCATTGCAATTTCAGAATATCTGTCTTGAATCTGGTCATTATTATATATGGTGTAAATAGTTTTTCTGTTCTCTACAAACACCTGAGATTCTCCAAACGGTGCAATTTCCTGCTATTTATGTGTCACAACGTGTATTGTGAACCTTAATATTAGCCACTAATAATAGAACTTGATACACGCTAGATCATACAGTTTAGTAATATTTTTTAGATTCAGTGACAATGGGAATTATTATTGTACACTGATCATATATCACTGGTTTTTCACCTTGGCAATAATCATATGATCTGACCGAACATTAAATTCTGTTTTTGGGTAGAAATGCAGATACTATCTTTAGAATGTATTCATTAATTAACATGAATATTAAACAATTAAATCAGGCATATTAAGTTACACCCATTGGTTAGGTAAAAACGTATCACTAAGCATACTACTTATTTAAAGGTTGTTTTTTATTATAAAGAATTACTTGATAGTATCACGTCGACAGATAAAACTACCGTGTTAAAGTTTCACGCATGCAACCATTTTCTGACGTATAAAGGAGGATGAGATACTTTCAGTTATAATTACTTGACTATAAAATAAATGGCGTGATTGTGAAATATACTAAAACATACCTATATTCTTCAAAACTATTAACATAAGTTTATTTTAATGGTGAAGGTGAAAAAAATATCAGTCTACATCTCACTTCTTTTACTAAAGTTGCTTAACATTATCTCAATTTTATTACTGTAGCGTAGTTAATCTTAAATGCATGATGGTGGGATTTTAGTTGAATGGATGAAAATGTCACATTCAGATCAATGAGAGTAAAATCAGGGAGTATACATTCTCAACTTTATTTATATGTTCAAAAACGATCAACTTCGAGAATGATTCCGAAGGTCCCAGTTCAAAACCATGACGAGTGGAATGTAATCGAGTTGAATGTAAAATAAAAACTTCTGTAATCAACATAGAGGAACAAATAAAAATGGTCATGTTAATCATTATGTATAATCTCAAATATAATCCACACAGAATTAGACTTGAAAATTCTGGGTTTGATAAGTGAACTTTTTTGTACCCCGGATTTCAATGACCATCTAGTGATGTAAACTAAAATGATATATATAGTTTCAGTTTAAAAGCTAAAAAATATTTCTCCTCGTTACATTTCTCTGTTTTCCTTTAAAAAGTAAACATTTTGATTTGCAATAAATGATAACATACAACCAAGTTTCTAAGGTCAGTCAAATTGACAAAAATAATCAGGTAAAAACAGTACCTCTTTTTTAGTAACAAAATTGTGATCGTAAACTATTCATCAGTATCATCAGTATTCTTTTAAGCTTTCATACACTATTTATAAAACGATGATAATGAAGTCACACATTAAGCACACACATGATATAACTAAGCATTTAAAGAGTTATCCTAATATTATGTCACAGATACCTTTGTAAAAGTAAAATCAGAAAAAAGCTGTAAGAACTCTTTCATAATCTACTGCATATGTTATTGATGATACAGCATAAATCAGATTTATACATTCAGATAGTTTGTTATTATCAGTTCATGATCACCATCAAAAATTTTAATTTTGTCAGGATCATGTTTTTTATAGAGAAACAAATGTAAAAGTATATTATATTATATGTCTTGATTAATATCATAGTTTTATTAACGTGTATAACCTATGCAGTTTATTAATTAAAATTATTCTGGTATAAAAATTGAGATTTACAACCGGTGAAAATTACATATTGTTCAGTGTTAATGACATAAAATTGATTGCCTACATAGCTTCATTCATAATTAGTTCGCGTTTTTTAATAAAATAAAAATTACACATTTATGATATAATGGGATGAGATTACAGATAAACAACTAATACAATCACTTCATGTACACGTTCAGTTATTTTCAAGTAACGTTTCATGATGATTAACCATATCAAAGAGTTCTTCCAGTTTGTACAGTAGACGAGTATGAAACATTAAATATATAATTAAATTTTACACATTTGTTAGTTTGTATGCAATTCTATTTAGATATATTGAACCATATTCTATACATTATTCAGATATATTTTTCTATCGCTACAAGTATACTAGAGTAATTTTAACTCCAATAATACAACTAAAACACCTATTCTCATTGGAGTATTATTAACAAAAGCTCTAAATAAAGTTTTAAAGCTAGGCCGTACTTGTCCACAAGTCATAAACATAATATTTAGATTGTTGATGGTTTCTGGGACGTGTATTATCTAGCAAAAGCAGTTGGTACGAAGCTTCTTACTAACAACCTTTAACTACATAACACCTCAACATAGTGCGTGCTATGTTACGTTACTCAAATATAAAAGAAATAGACAAACAATAGTACTGGTCACTACTGTATGGTAAATTAATTTTAAAGGGACTATTGCATAGGTTGTTAGTTTCTAATATTAAGTTATTGATTTTATTCAAGAGCTGGTTTTACACAGCAGGACATGTATGTACCTAATATGATAATGAAAATATGCTTTATTTTTTAAACGAAATTTGAAACGACCAGTAATTTACATTGATTATGTAATGATTTAGATACATAGTTGGCTATTCATAAATACCTTAGAACTTGATACTAAAGCATATTGGTCGAAATCAAAACACATAACATCAACACTGAGATTAGTAATTGACTTCATACAAAGTGAAAACACTACTCTATCATTTCTAATTAGATTTTCCAAATGATCATTTCTCACCCTGTGATCATAAATAATGTCATTTAAGTAATATTTAGTTTGGAAAGGTAACTTATTTCTATTTTACTCTAAAATTGTTATTGATCAATATATCTCTAAATTTTGGAATCTCTATTCGATACTTAAAATATAATTTTGACCAAATCCATAGGGACTATTTGCTTTCTATCCATCTGTTAATGGTAAGCAGTTGATACCAAATATGCTTTATACTAATAACAGCAATGTTTTCGCAGATTATCTTAAAATAAAGTCATACCGATTTACTTTATTATTATTGTTATTATTTGGACACATAAGTATTCATGCAACAAGGCACCGAATACATATAAGCCACACAAGTTGATTGATTTGTGTTGGGCTGTGATACTGCCCGGGTACTCAAACTAAAGCCTTTGACCTAAAGATCTAATCCACAAGGCAGTGGGGCAACTTTAGGAGATGCATTCCCATGGTAGCCGGTGACCAACAGTTAGTTCATACATCAATGGTTCCTTCAGGATCCTGGAACCCATGTGCATTATTCGTTTGGAATCAGGGTTTTTCAACACTCCTAGGTCGACCCTCCGCGGAATAAAACAACAATCTTTGCAATATGATAGACTTCTAAAACGAGATCATCCGTCTATTGAAATTTGCTTAATTCTGAAAATAATGATTCGGAAAAATGAGTATCTATATTAAATTATACTCTATATTTGGTATTTATGTTTCAACTGAAATATTGCTACATATATATACTGAACCTGTCCATATACTTCACTGTATGATACTCTTATAAATCTACTGTATCTTTCATATTTGGTCAAGTTAATCATTATGTTCTTATTGACAAAAGATCATCTATTCTATGGAATGTTCATGAATAAACATGTATATTTTAGTTGAAACTTATGCATAATATTTTGTCACCTGAAACCATTGAGACAAAAAAATGATAAAAAAAATAGTTATCTAAGTGTAAATTAGAAATACTATAGTAAAAGGGTATGTGACAAGTTTTATTATGATATTTCTATAGAGTGAATGGATATCATTATGCATAATATATGAGAAATGGAAAAGTACCTTTTCCATATATTTAAGTTTATTTACGGTAAAAATTAAGAAATTGGCCAAAATTATTATTATATTTGATTCACAGTCCTATTTTGTTTCCCAGTAACTTCATATTTCATATTAAAAGTTTA